GTATTTTGTTTGGTCTGGAGGGAGCTTCTTATAGTGCTTCCAGTCACATTATTTTATCTTGCTTCTGGCTTGTGTTACCTATATTGGTCCTTTGGGCCATGTTACAGAGTGGGCATAGTGTGGGAGTGAACCCTACTCCTTTTGCCTGCCTTCTGCTCACACTGGTAAGAACTACAGCTGGAATGCAATTTGTACATTTATTTTTAAAAACATTTTTCTTAGTTTACAATATAGCTTAAATGAATAAACGCAGTGTTATACTGCTAACCCACTACAGCACACATTCAAATGCCTACTTTCTTAGCAGTTGAGCACTATTTCACTTGCTAAACATTAACAAAAGACAGATTTAAATACAAACAAAAAATGCAGGTGAGAAGATAGTGATAACGGCAGAGAAGGGTCGGGGGAAGTGGGGCTGTGTAACGTGTAGACACTTGAAACACACCTATCTGAAATAATTAAACATTTCTATATGAACAGCAATAATAATTTAAATGCCAGGGAGTGTTCTAGAGAACTTCATGTCAACCTGGGACAAACTTCTGTGTGGTCACACCCACAGTTAACTTACCACAAGAGGCATTCTGGACTAACCCTTCCCAAATCTCCCAACAAGGCATCTCTATATTGCATAAGACATTACTGTACGAGATTTTTAAAAAGTACAGAGACAATTCAGCCAGTATGGAGAAATCTGCCTCAAAATGTTCCCACTTACCCGCTGTTGGTGCAATCCTATACAAGAATACTAAATTGCAAGTGCATATTTGTTCAATGTGATGTACTGCAGAGTTCAGAGTGACAGTCTTAACTGCTACAATTCTCAAGCAGCAATACTTTTATTAAAGACTACATAAAGCTAAACAACTTTATAGACTTAATTGCTATTCTGCAAGAGCCCAGATCTAATGTAGCACCTTTATGAAGTAAATCACAATAACTATGTCCAGTACTAGGCAAAGAGATTTCTACCTTTTTCTCTAGCTTGCAGCTTAGCCAATTACTTCGGCCAGCTTGTGCTATATATTCTACAAGCTTTTTTGGCCAATGTTCCATGTGGAAGCAAGGTAACTTGATCTGGATCAACTTAATCCGCAAAGGCCAAGCTGCTTGTGTTCTGAATTAACAGAATGCCTATTAGCATGATCATACATACACATGTTTATTCCTAGGTATGGATCCATGAGCTCAATGGAGCTTACTCTTTTCTCCATATTAAACTTATTTAGTATAAAAATCAAAATCCTTTGGGGGGTTCTTTCTTTGATAATCAAAAGAAGTGGCTCCAAGAAAATGCTGTTCTATTTACCATGTAAAAACACTGTGCCCACCTGTATCTTAAATTCATCATCAATTTGAAGTAAGTGCTATAATATTGGAATAGAGTTATTTTGTTAAATATACAAAAACAAGCAAAATGGCATTTAATATGCAAAAATTGAATATTCAGTGGATATGATACTTTATTCTTCATTTGACCTTATTCTAACATTGCACAATTTCTACAAAACAAAAACGTATATTGAAAATAAAACAGTGTCCAGTTTTGGAAATGAAGTCCTGAGACTTTTTGGTTGTCAGGATCAATTCAATCATTTTCCGCCCCTTCTCAGATATCCCTGATTCTTCTGAGCTTAGGTGCAACCTGGGGTAGAAATGAATTTTCCCAGGACAGTATCACTACGATTTTACAATCTAGTCTTGTTATGATGCAAAGTACTTTTGGATAGCTTGGTTTTGAATGTCAGATCCTTGGGAGCAGTATATCATACAGAAATATGAAAGGGCTCTTTCTCAACTATTGCACCCTAATTGTTGAATGCTCTTCGTTGGAGACTCAACTGCTGCTGTTACTGCTACAGTATTAGTTCAGTGCCAAGTTCAGACTTAGCTGTTCAATCAAGCATCTGTGGCCTAACAAGATAACCAGCTAGATCTTTTATTCTTTCAATACGCAATTTTGTTTTGTCTAAATTGTCAAGATTTTAAACTCATTTTAACTGCTCTAAATATTAAAACTGAATTTATCAACTTTACCTTGCCTTTTGATCTGTCAATACTGGGTAAATTAGAAATATTTTATCAAATATATGAATAAATACCATCAGATTTACAAAAAGCTACTTTATTCAGTGAAATTTCAAATTCCTGAATAAAACTGATAATTCTATACATTCTACTGAAATAAATGGCCCACTGCTTTGCTGTTCTTTGCTGTACCCACTTTATTTTTACCACAATACAGCTAGGCCATTCCAATTAACGTTAAGCACTTTTGCATTCTATTAATTACATGGAAGAGATTTATGCATGAGCTTCATTCCCCTACTGAAATCAAGGAGAAGCAGCAGCGCTTTGTTTCAGTTAAATTATGTCATGACAAAAATTACCCAAGCCAGGTCATGACACAGCAGACAAAGTTGGTAATTTTCTATTATTGTTCAAGTGTTTGGTTCTGTAAGGAAAAATGATCCCTTGATAAAGACTGCTAACCTTCTCCAGCTCCATGGTAGTCCTTGATTAGACTGACCAAAAGGACAATGCATGCACACCCTGGAGCATCATCATTTTTCCTTTCAGAACAGTAAGAGAGTACAGTATAAAGTTACTGCACTCATTATGACTGTCACTCCATCCTCAATAAAATCGTTTCAGTATCACAATGCTTTGGTTGATGTGACTTAAGATATCTAGGAAAAAGAGAAGGGATATAGAAAGGCTGTAGAGGTCCAGATATCAGTGACTCCTTAAAACAAATACTTTGAGGTCTGGTTTACTGAAGGAAACAGGAAGCAAGTTTCTCTTCCTTTGATGGCAGCTGCTGTAAAGCCTGAATACCACCTTCATATGAAGAAGTAATCTTATAATTCCTGGGCAGTGTTCAAATAAATCCTGTAGAAGAGTGGTACAGTATATATTTCTCTTTCAACAACAGCAAAAACTAAAGCTGTCACTGACATATTCATTTCTTTGTTTTTTCCCTCCCCTTACAAGCAGCCCCTACAGTAGTTTAAAAAAAAACCCAAACATACAGAAGGAAAGATATGAGCTAAGTTTGAAAACAGGCAAATACAGGCAAATGAACCCCTATGTAAAACTGGCTAAACTGAACTTCACTGTATGCTCAAATGAATAATCGTACTGCATACAGTGCATTTTCCTTGTTTTCATCTGTTTCTGTTACAATTCACTACCCAAACATTCTTTGTCTCGGTGATCAAAATAAAACAAATGAGCTTGGATGGAACTAGAGTGAGGTGATATAGTATTATTCAGCACAGCAGTTAATAGGGATAGAGATGGAAGGACATGACTGAAAGATTATCATATAGAAATCAGAATATGTTACAGACACAACACATATATTAGTATTTTACATTTATTTTCAAACTCCATATCAAGGTGATATGTTTATTACGCCAAGTTTTTCTTTAAAAGGACACAAAATGGTTTGCAAGCTTTTGCAATTGGGGCCCATTCTTCAGGCATGATGTGTTAATGCTAATTCTGTGCTTTTTTCATTTTTAAAGTTAGTCCAATAAAGGTATCACCCTGATACGCAGTTTTGATTTTGGGCTTTGCTTATTGTTCAACACAGCTCTCTTTGTGTTCTCTTTTGCTTAGCCGATCTATCTCACAATGTGACCTATTGTTATTCAGGATTCTAAACCACCATTGACACATTACTCCAGAAAATTGTGAGTACGACTTATGTTCATGGCATACTTCAGATTAAGGTTACCGGTACAGTGGTGAAAGCAAAGAACACGGTATTCCATTATTCTCTTGAGCTATTGTATACAGTCGCCGCAACATATGCAATTCCTTGTTACCCTTATGTTCTCAAGTTTACATTCTTTTCTTTAGACTGCATCCATAACTGTCATCCTTTAGTTGTATGCCCACAGAATTCTCACATAAGACATTTGAAAGAAAGATATATATACAAGCATACACACATAAAAATCTAACCTTCTTTCACTGCAGCTCAGTCATGGAACAAAGGATTATAACTGGATATCTGAATCTATTAGGTGATTCTGCTGAAACAGACAGGAAGAACTACCCTGATTTCAAATAGTAAGACCATTCTTTGTAATAAATGTACTAGTAAGTACATGGGCTTTTTGGGGTTGACATACATACAGTAAGCATCGCCATGTCCAGCATGTTTTTTCCAGAAAGCAAAACTTGGGAATGGACAAATCTTAAGAGCAAAAAGCATCACACCTTTTTTCCCCTTCCAGTGACAGGGCAAACCTATGTTTGAGGCGTGCTATCTGTGGAGCATGCTAGCACAACAGAGACCTACTCTTTCTTTTGTGCATCCAAGAGAGTTTTAGGTTACTTTTTAGGCACAGTCGAGGGAGTAGCAGGTGCTTAAAATTCGCCATTGTCACTACCAAGCAACAAAGGAGCAAGAGAAAATATGCAACAGAGGATGGGAAAAGGAGGTTGAAAAAAAATGCAACACTGCCAGATTTTTTTTAAAAGGGGGGGACAGTAATCACAGACACCTTTTTATCTGCAAGGCGTTGTCTGAGGCGAGGACAGCCCTACTAGGCGACGAAGCGGAGACAAGGGTCGGGCTGACCCTAAAAGAAGCCGGGTCCTTTCGCCCATTCAGCATCCGGGCAGCCCAAGGAAGGCTGCTGTCTCGCCCCTCCGGCCGCTGTCTGCCAGCCCTCAGCTTTTTTTTTGGCGGCGGCGCTTGTCCTGCCTGCTCTCTTACAAGGGCTCGGGCGGGCAACCCACCTCTTGACCCCGAGAGGCGCCTCAGGCCTCCCTTTCAGGCCTCGGGCACCCCCTTTCTCTCTCTCCGTCCCTCGCCCCCTCCACCTCCGTGTTCCCAAGCAGCTGCCTAACCCCCGAACGGGCGATGCCACACAGGCCAGCGAAGACGTCCCGCTGCCCAACTCCCTCCCTCCTCCCATCATCCTCATCCTGACCCCTCTATGGCTTGGGTTTCCCTGGTTCGAAGGCGAAAAGAGACTCACCTCCTCCGCGGAGGCGCCCTCCAAAAAAAGCACAGGCTGCGTGAGGGGAGACCGGCCGGGGTGGGGTGGGGGACACACACAAAATGGCGGCAGCGCCTCCAACCAGGGTGGGGGAAGAAGACGGGCGAGGAAAAAAGAGCCGGGCTCGGGACGCGTTTCGTAGCCCAGCCGGGGAGAGTCCACCTCGCTGGCTCCGTCCCTGCGTTCCGCACCCAAGGCAGGAGGAGCGGCGGCGGCGGCGGCGCCCCGACTGCGGTTGTCAAGCGGCTTCGCCAATCACTGCCCGGCAGACCGGCTCCTCAGGGCCCGGCGGGGGTGACAGCGCAGCCGCCTGAATGGGGAAGC